TCTCCTCCTCCCATATCACCAACTGTTACACATTGTGTCACAATGGCCTGGGTAGGCCCGACAGATTGGGGTTCAGGGGCCGGTCCAGGCCCAAGGCCGGACCTTTACCACGGCGGAGCCATTCTAGGCCGTCGGTTGGCCCTTTTAGGCCACTTACGGACCAGACCCGACGGGCAGGCCCAAACGACATTAACGATTGGGCCTGGCGGCGCTCTTGAGGCTGCCGCCGGCCAGTCTGATCTGAACCGTCGATCTGGACGATTCAGATCACGGCCAGGCCTCGCAGCATTGAGGCCGGCCTCTTTTTCACCGGTACTTAATACCAGTCCAGCCTCATTGTGAGGCATTGAGCAACTGGACGCTGCGGTAGCGCCAGTTCGCTTCGGTTCAGCAGCAGGAGCGTTAGCGCTAGCGCTATTCTTAGCGCAGCGTGGAGGACGAGCAGCAGCGGCGAGCGAGGAGCCAGGCAGCAACCACCAGCAGCGCGGCGGCCATAGCCGCCTGCGACCTGCAGTCGGATTGCGGCGTAGCCAGGTACTAGGAGGCGAGGGAGTATCTCCTCCCTCCACGGCCCCAGCTCTCTCCTCCTCACCTCCTCCTCCTCTGCCATTTCTTCTTCTTCTTCTTCTTCAGACTTCTTCTTCTTCTTCTTCAGACTGGGGACTTGATACTAGTTGGACAGAGATCAGTGTTGGACTTCGGTGGTAGGAGGCTGTGGTACTTACCGGATTCGAGACTTGGAGATTGTTGCGGTTGATACTTGGCTGCATCACAGATCGGACACCGTTTACATTAGGACTCTGTACCTCCGACATTGGTGACTTATTGTCCACGACATTTTGATCTTGTTCGATGACATTTTGGACTACCATATCGGTGACCTACTGGATTCTATCTCGGTGACAATCTGGTGCTGCCTACATCTCCCACCTCCTTCGTCTCTCCTCCCACCTTTCATCTGTGTATGAGTGTACGGGGCCTGAGCATCGTCTATGATTGGCTCAGACCCCACCATCTCACGATTGTTTGTGTGTGGAGTGATATCTGTGTGAGTCAGTCCATTTATCAGACTTCCGCTGCATACATGCTCATCCTATATTGGTTGATCTCTTGGTTCTGCCCATACTTGCTCATCCATTTATCAGTCTATGTGAGTCAGTCCATTTATCAGACTTCCCCAGATCTCTCTACCAGGCCTCACACTCCTGCATCAGCAGGTTACAGGGCACGGCACCGGCCAGTGTCGTTCTGGCATCGAACAGCCGTAGATCACTGAGTATATCAGCAATGGAGTCGTCTAAGATGAGTTGCTAGAAGTCCCCAGAATCTTAAATCATTCTTAAGACCCCCATTGGCAACCAACCAACAAACCATGGATAAGGGAAAAACTCAGAAACATTCATGGCGACTACTCAAAACTCTACTGAGTCGCTATTCATGTGTGTCAAAAAGCCTCCCAACCACAAATCAGATAGGTGAAACCTATTCAATCCACCTACGACCACCACCAGCATGGCTGTTTTCAGCACGAACCGAAGCTCTTCTAGGCCTCATGCTCCCATCAGGTTAGGTTACAGAGTTGCACCACCTTGCTCCATCACCGGCCAGCATTGCTCCAGTTACAACCCCCGATGACCATTGAGACTGCCCCCGCAAACAGCCCCCCAGATCTCTTTACCAGGCCCCACGCCCCCACTAATCTAGGTCACAGAGTTGTGCCACCTGGCTCCGGCTCCGGCCAGCATTGCTCCAGCATCGGTCTTCGAGGGCCACCAAATTTTCGACCACCCTTCACACGATCACAGATGACTTGCCAGATATCACCTATTCCTACAACCTCCTCGAGAGGCAAACCAAATAGAAAGATATGGAAAGAAATACTAAACTGGATGTTAGAATTCTTCGAGAGAGATCGCCCCTCCCTCCCCCTACCCCTCCCCCCTCAGTCCTACACTGCCTCTGCCGAGGTGAGTCACCCACTCTCCCTCGGCCCCAATATAGGACCACCCCTCTACCCTTCTTTCGACCGTAAGTACACCTTCTAACCAATAGCCAAAAAGCTCTGCGGCTGCACCTTTTTTATAAGACTCGAGAGAGACACAGTTCCCATTTACAAATCAGGAAACTCAAAAGCGCTTTTAAAAATACTTATCAATAAAATAAACATTAATAATAATAGTTTTCCCCAATAAAAGGATCGGTTAGGACTAAATGTCAAGGAGCACTGACCAAACGCACCCAACCATGATCAACTCCTGTTGTCCTCTCAAATTAACTCAAAAGGACTGCAGGCTCCGTGTGCAGTGTGGTCCCATAATGGGATACTAACAGGTAGTCTCTCTCCATTGAAGCAGATCGTTGGACTTCCACTAATGGGTACCCGTGTCCGATGGCAAGGAGGGGGCTTATGACCTTCCGGGGGTGATAAGCCTCCTACCAAAGCGGCCGCGGGTCACCCGCCCTTTTGAGAGTTCAATCCCCGACACTCAGTGGTCGTTTTCATTGGATGAACCTGGTTAGTGAGAGGTCAGCCAGTCTAGGCCATCCGCTTTCAAATTCCAAGCGAACGAACCGTTCGTTCCCCCGCCAAAAACTCTAGCAGGTAATTTAAAAATGTCAATCGAAAAATATTGCAAAAAAAAGAAATTTAAAATTCCTGAATTCGAGAAATAAAACGTCACCATTGTACATGGCCCTTCGATTAAACAGAGTTGGAACAGCGGTCTAGATTGAAACGTGAATCTAAGGCGGGGCGTTCCGGTAGCCTCTTTCTTTTATTTTTCTGTTCTTTTCCATATTATTACACCTTTCCTTCTTGAGATCACGACCGCTGCAGCTGCACCTATCTCATAACTCGGCTACAGAGACCTGGCGGGCAGTTGAAAAGACTGCGCTGGTCTTTCACTGTCGCGCCCCTGGGCGAGCCCGGCGGCTACCACGACCACAGGCCGGTAGTGCTTTGCTGTACAGCAGTGCGCCGAGCCTGCATGGACCAAAGGAAAGTCCAGTGGCGCATCACCACCCTTTTGCTGTGGGAGCGCCAGCCGGATCACTGCAGGAACAAGGCCGCGCACAGGACGAACCTGGCCCACTACCAAGGACCGTGAATAGGGTGCGCCTGGTACACTGCGGAGGGCCAGGATACGGCGCCCTCCGACAACATGCCGTGCGCCATGTCCGGTGCAGAGAGCACATGCTTCCATGTGTGTCTGTATGATGTGCGGCACACCCCCAAAAATAAGGGGTTGATGAAAAAAGGGGGAGGGGTGGGGTATAGTGGCATGCCTCTCCCTCCCCTCACCTCACCTCATAAAATTATGAGTTGACAAGAAAAAGAGGTGCATGAAATGCTGTCCCCCCCAAAAATAGGTGGTTGATGAAAAAAACGAGGGATGGGGTGGGGTGGCATGCCCCCCCCCCCTTCCCCCCCCCCCCCCCCCCCCCTCCACTCCCTCCCCTCCCCTCCCCTCCCCTCCCCTCCCTTCCCCTCCTAAAAATATAAGTTTATGAGAAATAGAAATTCGGGCCGCGCTTGACAGCAGCCCTAAAAATTGTGTTGCTATCTTTCAGGTTGGATACAGTCATGATGAGGATGTACTAGCAATATGATGTTTTCTTTGCTTTTGGTAATAATAGGGAGCTTTTGATGAACATGAAGCTCCACAATTTGTGAAATGGCCGTTACCCATGTCTCTCTCTGAATGTGTGAAATGGCGGTTACCTGTGTCTCTCTCTGAATGTGTCCAAGCTATACTCAGGCCCCTGACAGTCATGATTAGAATGCGTGGTGCTCTCGGATACTGAGCTTTTCTGAACTTCGATGAGGGCTAGTTGTGTCCTCCAATGTATACACGTGAGGTTTCATGTTCGATAGAGTCATGATGAGGGAGCATTGTCTTTGAATGTACGCAAACTATCTTTCAGGCTCGGTACTCTCTCTCTCTCTCTCTCTCTCTCTCTCTCTCTCTCTCTCTCTCTCTCTCTCTCTCTCTCTCTCTCTCATAGACACAAAAACCTGCACCTGTCTGTGTGCACAAGCAGCAGTTGCGTGCAGCCAGTGCGCTGCACCTGTGCCGTGGTGCGTGTGCATCACCCATCCGCGCACCGCGGTGTGCACAGGTGCACCACAAGTATGTTTTTTTTTTTTTTTTTAAAACCTCGGGTTTAGCTGAAGTGGCCGTGATGTGCTGCGTGTAAGGCTGTGGTGCTTGTGGACTGAACAGAGACTTGGAGCTACATGGTGGAAAGGTGTGGACTAGGCACAAAGTGCAGCAATTTGGACATCTCTGCCGAATTGCTGGACACGAAGTGGTGGCCAAAACTGCTTCCAAATGTATGCTATTTAGAATCTCAAAAGACTCTAGTCTTATTATACGGCCAATACCAGTATACTTTGGTTAATCACAGGACACCACTCTTAGCCGGCACTTTGAATCTGTGAGCTGGACGGAATAGCTCGCTGGCCAACTGGCCAGAGTATTGCTATGCTTGGCGAACTGGGCAGAGAGTATTGCTACGCTTTGCCAACTAGGTGGTCGAAATATTGCTATGCTAGGCCAAGTGGATGGCCTGAACTTCTTTTGTTACGCTGCGTATCTTATCCTTTCTGAAGTCCGGGGTGCCTTCTGTGGCCTTCTCAACCCCTGCCTAGTTTTGTTGCTTGTGTTTCTGCGTTTTCTCTCTTTTTGCAGCATCTGTGTTTTGGATTTTTCTATTCTTTTTGTTGGGTGTCACCATCTTGCACTTTTTTCGTTCATGGACTGTGTTGAAAACTCCTGGTTGTTAGTAACCTACCTGGAAAGGCCCCATCTTTGGTGTCTTTTTCCTTCTGGCTTGCTGTTTCGCTGCCCGTGGTCATGAGATTACCTGGCATCACTTGATTCGTTTTTTGAGGGCCTTTCTTCTCGTTTTTTGAGGGCCTGTCTTCTTTGGGAGGGGGGCTGACGAAACTGGCCTTTGCGCTTTGGGATCTCGGTTTCCATATCTCCTTCGGCTGGAAGGTTGTTTTCGCGAGGATGCGTGGTTATGGTCGAGAACGACAGCACCGCGACCGCGAATGGGTCCCGCGAAGAATAAGAGATGACTGGAAGGGGCAGCTCGGGGTTCGGTATGAAGTCCTTGAGTGCATTGGCGAGGGGACGTATGGCCAAGTGTTCAGAGCACGGCGATCCTCAGATGGGGAGATTGTTGCGTTGAAGAGGATTCATTTGCAGGAGTCGTTGGTAAGCTCGTCAGCATTGTCAGAAAACAGTGCAGTTGTGGACGAGATCAGCGCGCTGCTCGAGCTGGACCACCCGAATGTGGTAAAACTCTTGGAGTACTTTGAGCACAACTCCGCGGTGGTGCTTGTCTTCGAGTTTCTGGCCACAAATTTGGCGGAGGTGATCAAGAGAGGTCAAGAGCCTTTGGACGAAGCTGATGTGAAGGGGTGGATGGTGCAGATCTTATGCGGCCTGGCTGCTTGCCATGATGCTGCCATCATTCACAGAGACCTGAAGCCTGCAAACCTGCTCATTTCGAAGGGAGGGGTACTAAAGCTGGGTGATTTCGGATTGGCCCGAGTGTGCAAAGATGGAGAAAGGGTGGAGTTCACACATATGCTCGCCACCAGGTGGTACCGGGCCCCTGAGCTTCTCTATGGTGCGAGAGAGTGTGGAAAGGGTGTGGATATCTGGGCTGTTGGATGCATCTTTGCAGAATTGCTTGCCCGTGCACCATTGTTTCCCGGAGACTGTGAGATAGATCAACTCAGCAGGGTCGTCAAGATGATGGGCATCGCGGATGAGTCCAATTGGCCGGGTGTGAGTGATCTTCCTGATTTTGGAAAGATACTGTTCTCTCCTCCTGAGATAATTCCCTTGGAGCGGGCATTACCAAATGCCTCAGAAGGAGCAATTCGTCTCTTGAAGAAGATGCTTGTTTATTCTCCAGAGAGTAGAGTCAGTGCCGCAGAGGCTCTTCAGGATGAGTACTTCTTGACCGCCCCACTACCAAAGCCTGCTGCAGACCTGTGGATTCCCCCCATCACCCCCCAAAAGGGAACTACAAGAGGAGAGGGAAATACAAGGCATCAGTGGAGGGCGACACATTGTTGACTAGGCATTAAATCGACGATTGTGGCAGTAGTGAAATTTCAACCAATGAATGAAGATTCCAACCAATCAATCAATGGGCACGTGACAGAACAACAAAACAATTGTAATGGTGGCAGATTTGGTGCATTGGAGAGTGTAATAACCATGTGTGCAAACAACACCAGAATCATAATTGAGGGAAATTAGGCGCATTGGGGCGTAATGAGCATGTGTGGAAACAGAGAAAGTGTAGATATCAGAGTGAACAACGGTGGAGAAGATGAGCACTTAGTCCTCGAGAAGTGGGCTGATCCAATCTTATCCGAGAGGGGAAAAGGAGCTATGGCGATGGATCCTAGGCTTTCCATTGTCAGTAGTGTCCTCTTTGCCAAGAGTGTATGGAAACAGCCAACACCGTAGATGTCATCGGGATTGACGATGAAGGAGAAGGATATGAGCACCCAATCCTCACGAACGGCATCGTGGTTAGTATCTATCTAATGTGAGAAGGAGAAAGGAGCTGCGGATATTTTGCCGTCTACTCCCATTGGTGGCTTCTGTACCAAATGAATGGCACGAGCCCTTCGTACAAGGTCCTTGTGACAGGGCCCGCCATAAGATCCTTGTTTCCAGGACCTTGTCGTTGGGCCCTTCTCATATACTTCTTGTGAAGTGGGAAGAAATGTATGACAAAGTTGTTCGCTAGCAGCTCTGGATAAGCGAGGGAAACGACGGAGATGTTTTCGGTGGGGCCTCGCCACATTTGGCAACCCCGGAGGCTTATGACCAGCTTTGGGCTCATTCTGTGCAAACATAGTCTGTACCCTTTCCCTTAGGAAAAGTTGTGATGAGATGGACGGCCACTGCAAGCAGACTAATTGCATGTGGTCTCTTGGGTTGAGTCGCGTATGTAAAAAGTACTAAAAACTTCAAAAAGTTGAAAGACTGCACATTCTGCCAGTTGGAGATATGGAGGACTTCCAGGTCGTACAGGGATCCTGAACCTGTAAATAGTTAATGAAGACCGGATCTCTGAGATCCCAGAGTTACGGAACATTGTTGTCTGTTATTTTTTCTCGAGTACTCGCACATTTCGTTCTTGTAAGAGAATTTTGGTTGTGACGACAGAGAATCTTTTCCGTTTTTGATTGCTGCTCGACGGAGGAGAGAACCAGCGTAGCAGAAGACACAGCAGGGTGACAAGTTGGCAGGGATGAGATGATGAGGCAAATTACTATTGACTGGGAAGGAACCAGAGTGCCAAATCAGGAGGAAATACTTGCGTATGGATGATCGAGATGTTGGAAGGCAGGGATGCTAGCCCTAACATATGTGCACGGTAAGCTGACTCAGGCCCCACTCCCCGTCCCTTAATCATGATCCATGAAGCTCCCTTGTCCGCCGCGGAAGTGCGTACTGAGAGTTGTAATATCCTGAATGTATTTATTTCAATTCCGTTGATGGCTATATTTCTTCCGTGGAAGTCCCCACGTGTGAGTATACCTGAGTCTTGTGGTAGGCAACTTGGCAAACTGGGGGTTAGGGGGAGGGTTAGCAGGTGCCGATGGACTGCCGATGAATGAAGTTCCAAATATATAATGGGAACTACCCAATAATAAATGAGGAAGAAAATCAACAAGAAAGAAATTCCGTGTGTTTGGCGGCAGCTAGCTGCAGCGCCCAGCGCTGTGGTTCTCTGCACATTCCAAGCACAATTTTTTTTCCTTTTTTTTTTTTAATAGAAAAACAGGTCCTATGGCCATTGCTCGATATCCATTCTGGCGAGCATCAGTCCGGTTCCTATTGGACCGGCAAGTCAGAGATGCACAACAAGAACGCCCTCACGCTTCCTTCCATTTGGCCGAAGGAAAACAGGCGTGAAATCTTAACTGATACAAGTATGAAATTTGAACCGAGCGGGAGGATGAGCCCTGGAGGTTCGGAGTGCCGGTGTTTGATTACCTCGAGAAGGATGGGAGGTGTTATCACCAGTATCTGTCAACCCAACCCATGTTGGTGCCAGAAAGAATGCAAAGGTTGAGTCAGTGGGTCTGATGTTTATCCGCAATCGCAGTTTGTGACCGTTTATGTTCCTATCCTGCTGTTGCTAACTTGCTAGTGTGTTTGAGATTTGAATCCTTCCAGCTTTTCACGTGCTGTCACCAGGGAGATTTAGAATCCCCCTTTTGCATTCTGTCACAATGGAAAGCAGGAAGGGGAAGTGTTATTTTTGATAGGGCAATGCACAAGTCATGGTGAAGGTCTTTATCAATTTCTCGATTCCGTGCTAGAAGGAAGTTTTCGTTACCAGTTTTCTTGATAGATTCTAGGCAGGGTGGAATTAGATCTCCCTTAGAGAGTAAAAAGAAAAAAAGAAAAAAGAAAAAAAGATCTCCCTTAGATACAGGCCATTGTGTTCTCTTTTCGTTACCAGTTTTCTCTGCATGTGACGCTATCTGGCGATAGCAATTGAGACCGAAGGCTGGCCAGTCCTTTTGTAGTCTCGAATGCACTTCAACTTGTGCCAGCCTCTGTTTCTTGGGGCCTGACTGGTTCTGGTACCACATACCCACGGCCTGTCTGCTTCTGAATGGTAAGGCCTGAAACCTTCCCGAATTTCCTTTAGTCTGCTGCTGCTTGGGCCTTTGAGTCGTGACTTTTCACTTGTAGATACGACTTTTGACTGTGGACTGTGACTTCTCCCTCTGAATCACGACTTTTGCATGTGCAGCAGTCCTTATTCGTGAAATGTGACCCTTCAGCATGACTTTTCATTATGAAGCGTGACTCCTGTTTTTGAGACATGACTCTTGCTTATGAAGCTGCCTCTTCTCTCGCAGAATGTGACTGTTTGCTGGGTACCTATTGGACTAGACTGCTAAGGGTACCCGATTGTGACTTTTCTGAGTTTGACAGACTCGGCCTTTTCTTGACCTGGGCATCTGACCCTGAGATCCGAATTTGGGGTTTGAATCGTGGAAGCGCTTTCACTCTCGCCGGCCCAATTTCGAAGTCCTCTGAGAAACATATATATTTATCTGTCCACTATGTTAATTCCTCTCTTCTGGTTCTTTCATAGAAGGATACAATATTCGGTGCCGTTCGAATTAAGTCCTCCCTTGTAAACCAGCGATCTTCTGTTGGTTCTTGGTATGCAAATCTTACTTTGTATTGTCGCTGGGGTCTGCCTCTGTGTCCAGTTCTAAATGTATCTTCAGCAACAATTTTGTCTACATCGTATCTCCCATCCATATCTGGGGGTATTGTAGACCTTCGACTGGGAAATAGTTCATTAGTTACACAAGGCAGTAACTTTGATGCATGGAATACCGGATATGTATGCAAATGTGGAGGAATTTCTATAACATAGGATGGCCCGTCCACACCTCGTATCACATCCAATACTTGCCATGGTCCTCTGTAGGTTGGTAGTAACTTTTGAGAGAGATTCTCTTCAGGGACAAATTCCTTTGACTTTACCCATACCAAATCTCCTACAGCAAATTGAGAGGGTCTTCGATGTTTATTTGCCTGTTCTATCATTTGATGTTGTGCTTTAGCTATATTCTCTTTAACTTTGTTTATATCTCTCTGATATTGCACAACAAATTCTCTTGTTCCTGGCGGAAGTCTTTGTATCTGATCAGGATTCAAACAATCTATGGGTCTTCGGGGACCAGTCGATCTGGTCGGGACGTATGTACATACACAGCGTTTGCTGCAGCACTTTGTTCATTTGCTCAGTCTGTCCATTAGTCTCAGGATGCCTTCCTGAGGACATCGTTAGTTTAGAACCGTACACTCGCATCAGTTGTTGCCAATGCTCACCCATAAAACGAGAGTCACTGTCGCTCACAATAGTTAAGGGATGCCCATAATCTCTCACCCAATGGTTAAAGAATTCCTGGATTACCAAATCTGTTTTGGCCTTCGCGGGAAGCGGCACAAACACGGCGAATTTGCTAAACCTATCAACGATCACCATAACCTGACTCTTTCCATTTCTGCTTTTGACATTAGTGTCCATAAAGTCGATAGACACGGAGTCTCCAGTACCTGATGGAATAGGCAAAGGTTTCAATAGACCAAGGGGAGGCTGTGTAGAACTCTTGTTCTGTTGACAAACTTGGCAACCTTGCACATATGCTATGCAGTCATGCTTCATTCCAGGCCAAGTGTAGGATCGTAGGAGATTCCTCTATCCAAAATGACCTTCTGTATCATGACACTCACCCATGATCACACTAATTTTAGCAGAGGACTGGGGCAGGCTCAGTCCCAAGTATGCGAAAAATCAGTGCTAATTTTAGCGCGGGGCTAGGATAGGCCCAGTCCCAAGTATACGAACAGTCAGTCCCATGCTAAAAATAGTATGGACTGAGCTAATTTTAGCATGGGACCAGGAGAGGTCCAGTATCAAGTCTACGAACAGTTAGTCCCACGCTACTGGGACAGGCCCAACTTTGGGAAACGAAGAGTCAGTCTCGAGCTTAAAATAGCATGTGATCCCTATTTTAATTACTACTTGGGCCTTGTTAGTCATTTATGTGGACATTTGGGGTTGTCCCTCTTCCGATCGAGTTAGGCGGCCGCGTCGGTCCGGTCCCAACTGGTCAAACTCGATTATCTCACTAACCCCGGGTCTGTTTCAAGTGTCGTTTGGGCCGGGCTCCGCTAATTCGCCCCTTCCGGCCTCCACGGTCCAATCCAAAGGGGGCGATCAGGCCTCTTAAGGACTGTACCGCCGCACCGTCTTTTCCGCGACTTCCGCACCGAGGAATTTTAACCCACGCGCCAGGGCTTATTTGTAGCGGATGGTTGGTTGGCCTGTGAGACCAGCCCCGTGGCCTGTTCTTACAGGCCTGTGTTGTGTTCGGGGTAGTCCAGTCCAGGCCGTTTTTTTACTCGGTACCAGCCAGTCCAGGCTAGTCCAGTCAGTCTGCTGGGGTATACCCCAGCCAGGGTCTAAATTTCGATTCATTCTACATTGGCACATTTTGGAGTACGTGCGTTGGAGTCTAGCGTGGGAGCTGCGTTGTGCCATCTCGCTCCCTTTTCATCCTCCATCTCCATCTCTGTCCCAGGCGGAGCAACACACCTGGTGGGTCCGCCACACTGGTATCGGAGCGGGAACGTTCCTGCTCCCAAACAGCAAAAACCGACAACAGGTTTTTTGGCTGATTTCGAGTGGTTTTCAACGAAAAACAGGGGAAAAAAAAGGTGCAACAGCAGGGAGAGGGACACGTGGCGAAAAAGGACGCTGCCTTCACGACGCGTGAGCGCAAGCGTCAAGGCCAAGGCTGCTGCACACGCACGCGCCACGTGCCCACGCTGGCCCGCTGCCCCGCCCCGCCCCGCTCCGCTCCCGGATTTACTTATCAAGATCCGGGATGCACGCTGTTGCCAGGGTTTGAACCTAGCCAGCTGCAGCCTGTTGGCTATGCACGTGCGTAGCCACCTCGATAACACACTCGCCACAGTGTGTGCATGGTGTGGTAAGGCGGCACGCTGGTGTTGAAGACGTGTCGTGCCTGCTGTTTACCCCCCCCCYCCCCCTTCGAGCAACAGCAGCGGGCAGGCAACTATTTACCACCATCCCYCCCCCCCCCGGTCGAGCAACAGCAGCGGGCAGGCAACTATTTACCTCCCCCCCCCCCCTCCTTCCCCCGGCGGTTGGGAGACACCGTGGCTGTTGCTGCTTGCGCCCGTGGCCATCTGCAGTGCCACGTGGCAGCCTGCTGTGGACTGTGAACCCCCCCAAAACAAGGGCTGCTCTACAGCTGTCTCTTATACACATCTAGATGTGTATAAGAGACAGGCCATGTGCAATTGGCACGGTAGCTATTTTCCCCCCCCCCCCCTGGCGGTTGGGAGACACCGTGGCTGTTGCTGCTTGCGCCCGTGGCCATCTGCAGTGCCACGTGGCAGCCTGCTGGGGACCGTGAAGACCCCCTGATCAGGGGCTGCTCTACCGTGGTGAGGGTCAGGTCATGCAGCACACCTTGGATCTGCAGTGCTGCTGCTAGGGGCTGATCAAGATCTTAGCCGCCTCCCTCCTCCAGTTGGCTTGCTGCAGTGAAGGCCAAGACCCTCCTTGTCTTGGTACCTTGTGCCCTTGGAGACACCAAGGGCCAGGTATCACCTCTCTCTTCCCTCCCCCTACTAATCCACTTTCTCTACCTTCACTCTCCCCTCTATTTCTTCCTCTACTACCTCACTCAATTCCCCTAATCACTCTCACTCTCACTACTCGTACCCCTCTCCCCACCCCACCTTTTCTCCCACCACCCACTATTTTACTCTATTTTATTCATTTATTTCCTTTTCTTTCTCCTCCTTTGTCTTTGCTTCTTTATCCCTCTCTACCTTTCCAATCCCTTTCTCTCCCATTCTCTCACCCTCTTCTCCCCCAACAACCCCATCACTTCCCCCATCTCCCACTTCACTCTTTTTCTCTCTCCCACCTATTTCTCTCTTTTCTCCTTCACTTTTTCATCCCCCTTCCCCCCTACTTCGAAATTTTTCTGTTTTTTTTTCTTTCTATCTTTCTTTTGATTTACATTTCCTCTTTTTCCAAAAATTTGAATTATTTTATTCCCCACCTTCTTTTCTTATTTTCTGATTCATTTTATTT